TTTGCTGATGTATTTCCTATGTAGTATAGGTTTTTCATTTTTTAAATTTACTAAAGCTTATCCGATGATGGACGATTCCTGGTACTGGGTCCTTCAAATTCGGGCTATTTTGTTTGTTTCGACTAGTCCAATGTGCTCAAGTTGAATTATCAAAGTTCCACGAATGCATTGACATCAAACTAATTTATCTACTTCTATATAAATAAAAATGAATGTTGCTAAGCGCAAAACTGTGATATATAAGAGTAATTTTCTTTATTGTGAATACTTTTTTAATAAATAAGTTAGTGTTAACGAATTTAAGTTGTAAGAAATTCGTGTGCACTCTGTGCAGGTCTTTCTTCGATGAGCTTCAAAATGTACATTGTACATTGAACCTCAGACCTACCGGGTGTCGCACGACACCTCTTGATTATTTGGCAAATCTTCTATTCGAGATGTGTTCAATATTCATATTTTAATACACAAGTATATAAGAGAGATATTCTACCTCGATACAATAAAGATATACATGAAAAGTCTATAAATATAATATAAAAATACGCGATACTCTACATATAACATAATACAATAGTATTATACATGTATGTTACATACTTTAATGCTTTAAGCATATTTATGTACCAAAAGGGTTAGAAATAGTTAAATTATGTAAGGAAATGTTAAAAGAAAGCCTGTAAAGGAAAGACAGTATATTATATATATATATATATATATATATATATATATATATATATATATTTTGAAATTTAAGGAGATGTAATATTTTGCTCATTGTCTGTAAAGTATGAAGAAAATAAATATTTTTCAAAAAACCTGTCAAATTATTCTTAGAATAATTTTTTAAGCTAATATGGGCTTATCAGTTTATGAATATATATTATGAATTATATTTTTTAGTAAATTTTCACGATGAAACTTAATTAATAGCTAAAGCTCTTCCCTTTGTTAAATTTAGCCATTAAAATATTTATTGGTTTGTATATTTAGCCAGATTACGCTTTCTGGCTGTATAGGTTTTCATAGTTTCTGACTTAGATTCATATATGTATATTGTATATAATATTAAACTTGACGATAAATAAGACCTTATACATTTTTATTTAAAAAAATATATATACAAATCATGCATTGAAAAGGTAGATTAAATGAAATCACTACCTATTAATTTGGCTACCTACATAAAATGATTACTTATTCTATATAAATTTTAATATAGCCTCATAATTTATATGTTGGATATACAATGAAACCGTAAGAGGATAAAAAGATTAAAAATTATCAATTATCCGATAGAGCAATATATATAGTGGAGCTTAATTTTCAACATCAAACCAAGCACACGACAAAGGCCGCTAATCCCTAATGTTATCATATTCGAATAATAGTTTTTAATCCATATTAAATGGAGCTTCCAGGTTCTGTTAACAAGATTTCTATTTAGAACTTTGTAATAATATAATACAAAACTTAAAAATAACATATAACTTATGGATAAGCTTAAAAGCTCTACAATTTTAAGCATCTTTACTCTATTTGGACTAACAAATAACATTTTTTATTTCCCATACCTTATCGGGCTGTCTGTGTCTTAGAAATTTATTTAATTTCTTAGAAATTTACCTGGAGGTGTTAAATAACATTACCGTGGCTCGGGTTCGTCCCGAGCTTGCTTTCCAATACAAACTTTCATCGCGATTTTCTAAGATTCTGCGCAATTTTCTTCTTTTTTTTAATGCAAGCATGCCTTCTACGAAGTCTTAGAAAACATTTAAAAAAAGATGAATAAAGTCGGTAAAGCCGTTCCTAAGTTATAAGCGTGACCAGGAGAAATAGGGGCTCATTTTTATATATACAATAATCCGTTAGTACCTGTTACATTCTGACATCATCTATACATATAATAAAATTGTAACTAAGTCGAATCTGTACATTGAATATTTTTTGGAAAATCTTATTAAAATAAACGTTATTATCGATACAGAGGCCGAATCTATAGTTTTTAGAATTTTTGTCTGTCTGTCGGTCTGTCCGATACCGCATCACAGAAAAACCATTGGAGGGATTTTGATGAAATAGGATACTTTATACCGCGGGAAAACGTCTCATTTCTGGGAAAAACTACAACAACTGCAATGTAATTAAATAAAAAAAATATTTAAATACATCCTTACGACTTGAATGATACTCATAATTAATGAGATTAGCTTAGATATTAAGATATCATTATGAAGAAATTTAAAAGATCGCAGATAAGATCTGATCCTCTTAGAATATCTAATAGCAAGATAGTATTACCTTTACAAAAGTTATTTCTAGTAAGTCTTCAGTTCCATTAGTGAAGATTGAAGTGGGTTTACTTTTTATTATTTTCATTATGTTAGACGACACGTTTGGCTCAGTTTGTAGTGACCCTAATTCCAGTGCCAGCGGACGCGGGTTCGAGTCCCGCTGGGGGCATTCATTTGTATGATGAGGACGAATGCTTGTACTCCAGTCATGGGTGTTTATATTTAAAATGTTTATATTTAAAGTTATACATGTGTAGTGTATCAACTATCTGGTATCCATAACACAATCCTTGTAGCTTACCATGAAACTAGATGGTGCTGTGTGTTAATGTCCTAACATATTTATTTATTTCGTATTGGAACTGAAAGGAAAGGTTTTTCCTAAATGGTTTTAAAGATTAAAAGACAAAAACTTTTTAACAAAAAAATAAAAACCGACTTCAAACAAAAGCACTAAAAAGTAAAAAATAACTGATTGGTAGTTTTCATTTACTATACATACCTAATCAAATATTTTCGAAATCGGTTCATTACTTTTCGCGAGAAACGCGCACACAAAAACAGAACAACAGACATACAGGCAATTAGACATACAGGCAAAATGTTTAATAACTATTGTTTTGGGGTCTATCTTGTGTACATAATACGTTACAAACAAACAAAAACAAATCTATCCCACGAGAATCGTACATTTTTTCGAGATAAAAATAGTCTATGTACTATTCCGGACTATAAACTATCTCTGTACCAAATTTCATCCAGATCCGTTCAGCCGTCTGTCGTGAAAGAGTAACAAACATATTACGTCCATACATACATCCTTACGAACTTTCGCGTTTATAATATTAGTAGGATAATAAGAAATGTAGAGATGTTTTTGTTTCGGCGAAACCGAGCGAAGCGAGGGTGAGCCGCTAGTACCTAGATAAGCCTAATAATATTTTTTATTGACTATGATTAGAATATTTAGAGAAAAATATTATATTTTTGGAAGATATTTCAGACGTTATCATAAGTCTACTTTAGTCTGTTATTCCGTATGTACACCATTTCACTATCCGTTCGAAATGTTGGAACTGAGCTACGTATTTCAACGGTAATTCCCTCCTTAAGCAGGTAAAGAGCTTAAATTGATCCAGTAGATCCAAAGATATTGATACTTATTAACAAAGCGGGCAACGTTCACCGTTGAGTTGTTGCAAACTAAATATGACTAAATAGAAATACACTTGCTATTGGAGCCTTAAGGCAACGGATAGTCAAGGAGTACTTGTAACGTAGCACTTTTTAATAAACTCTAGCTAGAATTTATTTGAAGATCTTGTCTCGGTCTAATAATAAATTATAGATAATTATGTAATATTTTTTACTTAATAGCATGGAATGGTGCAGGTTGAAGTGCAATTCGTATAACAAATATATCTAATTCTTTCGTTGAAGCCAATTTTTTTGTTATTTTTGTTGTATGGTATATTTGAATATTAAAAAGATATATTTTTAACCACATATCTCCTTCTCTCGTTATACTTTGGTTTAGATTAGATCCTCAACAATTTCATAAAGTTCCCTCTTCCAAGTCGCGGTATTAGTTTCTCGGTATAATGTGAGATTTATTAGTATTCTCGACTCATTTTTTTTTAAATCTTTTCTTCCAACTCTTATATCGAACGTTGACACTTTTTCTTTATACATATTAAAATTAACATCTAGTTATTCATTTGTTAAACCTTCATTTTAAAACTTAACTTCTTAAAACTTCATTTTAAGTTCAGTAAAATTCAATTAAAAGTAAAATCTGCTTTTTAATTGTGGCATAAGCAAAAGGCGATAATAGACACAGGATTTTCATTGCTAATTTAAGCTTTGACTTTGAAACTGAGATTATAACTATGAAAACTTATTATTTTTACTATGGGATACCTAAACAGTAAATTAAATATTATTTAAAGTCGGTTAAATATTATTGAGTATAAATGGGACTTTCACTACAAAAGGTCAAGGAAAGTTCTAATTTGGCAGAGTTTTACAGTTTGGTGTGCTAATTAATATTCCGAATTATGTAACCACATATTTACCTATAGCGATCGCCGCTCGCGCCGCCATATTGGAAAAATGTAAATTTCCATTCTACCTCATGGTGGTGTGGAAATATGTAAAAAGTACAAACGATAGTACGAATTAAGTAATGGGTTTATACTGAAAATTCTAAATTCTGTGGATGGTAACAATTTGCCGAACTTATATGAGTTCACTGTAACTCCTGAATTGTTTAGTTAAAAAAAATGTTTTCCTACAAAAGTTGCAGGAAACTTCATGCTCTATAAATGTGCAATGACCATTTATAGTTGGAGTTGCAGAGTTGGGGAGAAGATATTCTCGAAAACTGTTTATAGCACCATTTTTCTAATATGGCGGCGCGAGCGACGGTTGCTAAGATCGCAAATTCGGAATATTAAAAAGTACACCTAACTGTAACAGTCTACCAAATTAAAACTCTCCTTAATATTTTATAAGTCAGAACCTATCTAGTGACAGATAAAATTAGTTTATGCAAATATAATTAAAAAAATATATAGTATTTATAACATGTGTGTATTAAATTTAATTACTTCGTTATAATAAAGCTCCCACTGTATGCAGCTCAGAAATCGATCAATATTAAAAAGTCATATAAAGGACGAACAAGGAAATTCTAGGTAATATTCGCGGATGCGTTTCCACATTCAAATATTTCGCATCTTCTATCGCGCCGGCCAATCGCTGGGCTGTTTCTGTATGCGTCACAGCGGCATATTTCATCTCCGCGTCGGCCGATACGGTTGTCTCGTCCGTCTGTACAAATCTCGCGCGCGTTTAACCACAACTTTGGCCTGTCTTCGATTTGGTATGTATGTTTTTGTATATTATTTGTATATACTTTATATATATATACATATTATTTTATTTTCTGTTAATATCTGTTAATATATATTTTTACTGTATATATGTATGTATGTAAATGTTGTGTAATATTTTTAATTATTATATATTATATTAATCACGAATATTTAATTATTTATAATTTGTGTTTATTTTATTGTTTTATAAATATTATATATATTTTTTATAAGTTTTCATATAAGTTATAAGTAATATTTTTTTAATTATTTAGCATTATTTATATAATGTTAATATATTTGTTAAATATTGGTATTAATTAATGTAAAATATGTATATTATTATTGTTACTAATATAATATGCGTTGCGCGTAATTGATATACAAAAGCTCATGATTGCGCTACAATATATCTAGATTAATATTAACTAATATTTCCGACTAACACTTTAATTAGCAATGCGACTGTTTTAACCTTTCTATAATAATAAATATCAATATTTTAAAATTTAAAATGGTTTAAATATGAGTAGTTTAACATTGCGGCTCGCGATTTGCGTTTGCGTTCTTCCATGTCGTTCCACAAAGGGTCGTAGATTCAATTCTGAAAATTAAATGCAATTAAAAAAAAATGTCGTCTAATAAAGTAAATTTTAATTTAAAATAGAATAAATTTCTACAATAAAAATATATATTAAAAAATATTTTTTCTTTTTTGAAGCGAAACTTCTATAGAATTGTTGTGATTTAAAACTAGATGAAACTAAAATGCGTCACGAAAAAGAGACAAAACACATAAATGTATAGGATTAAACCGGCGAGAGAATGAGATAGAATACATTACACAGGAAGTGAAAAATAACTTTTAAACTTGGTAAAAATATTATTAAAAAAAACTTACAATTATCATACTCTATATTCATCTCATTCTCTCGTAGATTACTTTTCTAAAGTTTCACTTCTACTGCGTGTTAATTGCACACACAAACTTTTATTCTCTTCATGTCACTTATACTTTTACAAGAAAGCACAAGGTTTTTTATTGACATAGTTTATTTGACTCTTTGTTCAGGATTTAGCATTTATTAGCTCCGGCTGTTAAATATAGATATTTTTTTATTTTAAAAGGAAAAGTTATTCAATTAGAAAGTATTTTGTGTGCCAACCAATTTAAATAATTTTCATAATTTTTCTTTAAATGGATTTTGTATTAAGATCCCTCATAATTTGAATAAAAAATACCATTAAGTACCGAATTCTCTAAAAGATAATAGTTGACTCGGTGTACTTAATACTAGCTGAACTCATGAATTTGCTCGCGCTAAAACAAAAAAAAAACTCAAAAAAGTGGGTTTGATAAAAACTTTCAACCCCTAATTTACCCTTCTAGGGGTTGAATTTTAGAAAACGCTGAAATACGTAACTCATTATTTTTGCCGTACTCAATTCATACGTCAAGCAAATATGTCCAAGGAATAAAAAGTTCCATACAAGCTTTTATCCCACATTTCACCCCCTTGGGGGTTGAATTTTAAAAAATCCTTCCTTAGTGGATGCCTTCGTCATATGAGTATAGAATACGTGTGCGAAATTTCAATTTTCTAGCCTTAAGAGTTTGGCCTGTGCGTCGATACATCAATCGATCACTTATGCCTTTTATATATACAGATTTAAACTCCAATATATTTTGTCTCAATCTATCATAATTACCTTTTATTCCTAAAAAAAAACATTAAAAATAATGAATTGAATTAACTAACTGGTACACTATTACTATCTACTTAGACATTTTTATTTACCGGGTTTACGCTTACTTTATTTAGGTACGGTATCAACATTATGACATAGAATCGTTTTTTGGGTCCGTTTGATCAAATAAAAATTAAATTTGGATATGACGTATAAGGCACTGTCCCATTAAATTCTGAGACAGACAAAAATTAAAAAAAATTGTGCGTTTTTATTACTTCAAATAAATGTATACGTTTATGTTCCGAGAGCTGGCGACGAATTTTGGGAAGGTCCTTTTGGCAAGTTGAAATTGTGAAAAAATATAATTTCGTGAATTGGCGAGTCCAGGCCCGCGAGTCTGGTATAGCTTTAGCGGTTATTTCGTTACTGCGCAACATTTGCAAAAAAAATATCCAAAAAAACATATTTTTGGCAACTTGATTTTTGTTTAATCTTTTAATTTAGTTTTCATATAATTCAAAAAAAAGAACTTCAGACGTTTTTGTCGGTTATAAAGTATTGCCAGACCTCTCCAAAGATGCTTTATTAAAATTCCCAAAAAATATACTTTTGGCAATCTGAAATTTTAATCACGTATTTATTGAGTAATTTTCAATAATACTTGCAAATCGCCAGACGAATTTACCGGTTATAAACCATTCCCAGACGTAAATAAAGTTTACAAATTAGTACTACAAAAAAGTCTTATGCGTAGCCATAGGTGCGGGAAACATAGCCTATCGAGGTATGCCAGCAGCTGATGACCTTGGCACCACACCCAAATATATATATATATGCCAGCACCTGATGGGGGCCCAAGGTCCTCGCGCTGTGATTGGTTATCGGGAAACCGCACGTTTCGAACTTATGCTTCGGGCTCTGCGTTCACAACAGAGTATTTTAGAGTAGTTTTTTAGGGTTCCGTACCCAAAGGGTAAAACGGGACCCTATTACTAAGACTCCGCTGTCTGTCCGTCTGTCTATCCGTCTGTGACCAGGCTGTATCTCATGAACCGTGATAGTTAAACAGTTGAAATTTTCACAGATGATGTGTTTCTGTTGCCGCTATAACAACAAATACAAAGCAATAGATTAAAATAAATATTTAATTAATTCTCAATTTTAAGAAAAAAGTAAAAACTTGCCAAGTGCGAGTCGGATTCGCGCATGAAGGGTTTCGTACCATTATCTATAAAAGTAGCATAAAAATCACGTTTGTTGTATGGGAGCCCCCTTAAATATTTATTTTATTCTATTGCGTTTTTTTTGTATTTGTTGTTATAGCGGCAACAGAAATACATCATCTGTAAAAATTTCAATTGTTTAACTATCACGGTTCATGAGATACGGCCTGGTCACAGACGGATAGACAGACGGACAGACAGCGGAGTCTAGTAATAGGGTCCCGTTTTACCCTTTGGGTACGGAACCCTAATAAATTACTTTAAATCACTGTTGTGAACGCAGAGCCCGAACCATAAGTTCGAAACGTGTGGTTTCTCGATAACCAATCACAGCGCGAGGACCTTGGGCCCCCATCAGCTGCTGGCATACTTCGATAATCTATCTTTCCCGCACCTATGGCTACGCGTAAGACTTTTTTGTAGTACTAATTTGTAAACTTTATTTACGTCTGGGAATGGTTTATAACCGGTAAATTCATCTGGCGATTTGTAAGTATTATTGAAAATTACTCAATAAATACGTGATTAAAATTTCAGATTGCCAAAAGTATATTTTTTGGGAATTTTAATAAAGCATCTTTGGAGAGGTCTGGCAATACTTTATAACCGACAAAAACGTCCGGAGTTCATTTTTTTTTTAATTATATGAAAACTAAATTAAAAGATTAAACAAAAATCAAGTTGCCAAAAATATGTTTCTTTGGATATTTTTTTGCAAATGTTGCGCAGTAACGAAATAACCGCTAAAGCTATACCAGACTCGCGGGACTGGACTCGCCAATTCACGAAATTATATTTTTTCACAATTTAAACTTCCCAAAAGGACCTTCCCAAAATTCGTCGCCATCTCTCGGGCTATTTACTTCAATAGTTTTTATTATAAAACTACTTTATTTCCGCGATGCGACTTTCGTTCCACTCGGGTTCGTACCTTGGTACGTTTTAACGGATAATATAAAGTACCTGGGCGACCGAGCTTCGCTCGCAGTTTTTGGCCAAAAAACATATAAAAAAATTTGAACAAATACAAAAAAAAACAAAAGTAAAAACTTTATATCCGACCGGGATATGAACCCAGATACTTATGGTTGTCAAACTTGCACTTTGGCCGCTTGACCGCGATGCTTATGTCCTAGCGTGCGAATTAGTGACCATATTTTGCGTGGAATAATGCGAAACAAAACCGTATGAAAACTCGAAAACACGCGTTGTCCCAGACATAAAACTAATCTAGATGGATTTATCGCCCCCGATATATTTTCCTGTAAAGTAAAAAGTATCTTAAATATTAACCCGGATAACCAGCTATCACAATACCAAATTTCATCAAAATCTATTCAGTGGTTTTCTCGCGATGTGTTCCTAGACAGACAGGCGGACGCATGGACGGACAGACAGACAAAAATTCCAAAAACTATAGATTCGGCCTCTACATCGATAATAATGTCTATTTCAATAAGATTTTATAAAAAATATTTAATGTACAGATTTTTACAATATTTCTATTTCTTTATTCTAAGGAATTTCCTTGAGTTTGTCTTAGCATGCCAAAAGAAGCTTAATGCACTTTCAGACCTGTAAAGTATTAAATAGGTATGCAAAAAGTAATATCACTCCCTTACTTTGTTTCTGCACAAAAGCGATAATGCAGCTTATCCACGCACTTTTGCATTTTTTATTTTATTATTTACATGCCTTTGTCTGCGTCTCCTAGTGTGCAAATATACAACGCGAAAATATTTTCCGTAGCCAAATAACTGGGCGATGTAGGTGTTGATGCCTCAAATGTCAAAGTGAAAAAAAAAATGATAAAGAAGATTTATTTTTTTGCGCAAACGAGGGTTCCGTTTACATTTATATAGTCATAGATTATATTATGTTAGGACATTTTCTTATTTAATTAAAAAAAAATATTATCTTTAACAACGTTTGATGACGAAAAGATTGAATATCGTAATAAAAGACCGAGAAAGGGTTATTTGATCCTAGGTCTTAAAGCGCGTATTATGTTAACGAGGCATACTGCTACTGCGAACATATATTGAATACTTGTTATACCTATTTAAACTTTATTTTACTATTAAAATAATCTC